CACCTCATGTAAGAAAAGACATGGCTCCTAGAGATAAGGAAACTTTATGGGTTTATTTCTCTTGGGTTGTCACTGCATGTTGTATAGGCCCTTTATTGTCAACATGTTGCCGAATGAAAGATCCTAATACTCGTCAGGCATGGCGTGAAAAAGTAGCATTGTGTTTCATTATTTTATGTATCTCCTTATTTATGGGATTTTTGACATTCGGATTTTCACAATTTGCATGTCAAATACAACGTCCTCTCTATCCACAAGATATTCTTAGACTTTACGGCCCTGATGCACCAGGAATGAAAGTACACATTGTCCGTGGTCGACTTTACAATACTGGCGTTTACTTCTCTAGTGGTAGTCATCGTCCAATCGTTCCTTTTAATGATTCGGATTTATTTCCACTTGTCTCGGAAAGGTTTGGAAAAGATATTTCAGACTATTTTCCACCAGATAATCAAGCTTTAGGATGCAATACTATACCAGTAAATAATGGTAGCATTTGTGATTTTGCTATTAGAACTGGTGACAATAGATATCATTGTCATACCTCCCCCGCTTCAAATGAAGCATTAAAGAATTTAGATTTGAACCTTTTCGTTGGGTACACGTGGAATAATATCAGTAATACCAAAAATAACTTGTTCGTATTTAATGAGAATGTCTATGATTTGAGCGCATATTTAAATTTACAATCAGACAGTCAATGGCTTGGTAGTAGTGATGTGACCACTTGGCTCTCAAGTCTCGTGGGCCGTGATGCTACAATGGATATAATTCGTACCCAAAAAACAAAAAATATTGCTAAATGCTTTGATCATTTTTTAGTGGGTAAAGTTGATGGTACAACTATAGGATGTGTAGCAACAAGTTCAATTTTACTTATGATGACTATCGTCTTCATCAGTATTACTTTGATCAAGTTCTTATCTGCTGTAGCTTTCGATTGGTTTTTATCATGGCAATTAGGTAAAATATCAAAGGTGCCAAAACCGGACAATACTATTACACATATATTATTATTGGTTACATGCTATTCAGAAGGTGAAGAATCAATGCGCACCACACTCGACTCTTTAGCTAAAACAGATTATTCTGACAAACACAAATTACTATTCGTAATTGCTGATGGTAATATCACTGGTTCAGATAATGACAAACCAACACCACAAATTTGTAAAGATTTGTTAGAACCTTTTGATCCAACCGCTCCAGCACCAGAACCTAAATCTTATCATGCTATTGGTGACGGATTAAAACAACACAATATGGCAGAAGTTAGTATAGGGTACTATGTTATTGATAACCATCGCGTTCCCATGTGTTTAGTAAATAAAGTTGGAACCGAACTAGAAAGGAATGGTCCTAAAGCTGGTAATCGTGGAAAGCGTGACTCTCAATTAATCTTAATGAAATGGCTTAGTCATATTTGCTTTGATGAACGTTTGACACCTTTGGAATTCGAATTATTCGAAAAAGTTCGTACTCTGACTGGCGTAACACCTAACGCGTATGAAATGGTTCTTATGGTAGATGCGGATACGTCTGTTAAACCTGATAGCAT